TTTTCTAAGTGAAACGGGTAACCTTAGTGGTTAAGAGTCTAGATGACTATATTATTAGTTAATTGAAGTTTGTTTCTGTGTGAAACTTGGAACCTGTGTGGTTCGATCCTGTGTAACTAAATGTTTCTGTGTGAAACTGGGAACCTGTGTGGTTCGATTTGAATTGTTTAAGAGTCTGTGTGACTCATGTTATCATTAAAGAATAAGCATAATCATTAAATGTCTTGATTGACTTTATTAATGGTAACCAAGGCATTTACATATATAAGCAATATTCACGAATCTTGGCTCAATAATGGTTCAGAGGGCCGATATTGGCCCTTTATAGAATTGTCCTGTATTGAACTAAACAGAATTATTCCTATATAGTTTATCTTTTGCCTCAGAATTTTCATTAAACATATTTTTTAGTTTTTTCTATTAATTTAGGTCAAAATAAGTGGAGAATATTTGATTTAGCATTTTCATCATTTTTGGTTATGAAATCAACTCCGGTGTCCCTTTTTGCGCTAAGGATAAACATGGCTTCAATTCACATTCAGAGAATTCACACCCAAATAATAATTTACAGTTATTTAGATCTAAGAAAAACAGTCGTTCAAATTTCTTTAACTTACAAAATAAATAATTGATAATTTTTTTTTCTTTTAATATGAATAGAAAAAAAATTTCCAACTACTTTTTTTGGATTTTAATATTTTAGAACAAATATAATTCCGAGCATCTAACAGATTTTTTTTTGGTAACTATTTGACTGACTTTTATAATTAAAAAATACCAAAACATATTTTAACATATGTACTTAAAGCGTCAGAAAAATATATATAAGATGAACTCTGGTGCCCCATCTGATCCAGAGGGTAAATATTTTAAAAAACAGGTAAATATTTTAAAAAACAAAGACTGAATTTTCGTGAATTACGGTAATGCTGTAAGTAGATCCTAAAATTACTCTTATGAAGGAGATGAAAGATTCCGTTGTGCAACATTTATTTCTGCCCGGGTAACTAACAATGAAAGTAGCCTTCAGCGTCGGAAATGCCACCGTTAAAACAATTTGACCCTTTTCAAGGTTTCTTTTCTATCGTCTGCACCTTTAGGGGATATAAGACCTGTTCTGCCTACATTTTCACTCTAATTCATTTCACAATTAGAATGACTAGTGGATCCAAAACACGACTATCGTTACTTCCACTTACATCGTCTGTGTATTTTATGTGAGTGTGCAGCATGATCAATTAATGCAGAAACATGATAATGTGAAAGTTTATATTTAAAACTGAAGTCAAAGCACGGTGCTTTTCCAAAGCTAAGGCTGAAGGTAACACAAAAATATTACCTAGGTCCAAGCATTTATCATTACAACCATTTTTTTTTTCTGTTAAGGAACTTTTTACACGGCATGTCTTGGACTCGGAACACATATTTTATTTGAAGCAAACAATCGATTTTTTGTTGTTGTCACCATTGAGATAGCTCTAACCGTTGAAGATAGAAACTGGGTTTAAGACATTGGTGTCTAGAGTAGACAAACTCGCATGTCACACATACACACAGCAGCCACAAATAAACCTCTGAATAACGAAAGGTCTCATAGACACAAATCATCGTTTTTTCGTGTAATCTTTATTCCGCATGAATCTTGGAGACAAAAAAACGTAATATAGTTTTCCTGAGTCAGCTTTATAAAGGGAATTCCATTTTTATTGTATCGTTCGTCTGGACCTAAAAACTAGAAGCAGAACATGTGAGTTTTTCGCGAATCAAAATCTTATAATCCAACGAAATGTTGAAACTTTTTTTAAATCCCATTAACGAGACGTATACATGCACATCATTCTACCGCCATTTTGATTATTTTGGTTCCGGCAGATTTTCGCCATTTTGAATATTCGGAACTGCGCCGGAAACTGCAAATATCGATAGTCTTATCCATACGATTTTATTATCAAACATCGATTTTCGTATATACCTGATTTAAAAGTTATGCATTGCGATTCGTATTTACACGATTTAAAAATCGGGCATTGCGATTATTATTATTAACGTGATTTAAAAGCCCTATTATCACGATTCGTATTCACTCGAGGTTAATATCCAATATCGCGATTCGTATTCACGTGCTTGTCATATCAGAAACGAACGTAATTTGTACGTAGTTTAAAAACTACGCATTGCGATTCGTATTCCCCGATTCTAAAAGTGAATCGATCTAAAAATTATGCATCGTGATTCGTATTTACGAGATTTTAAATTTCAATATCGCGATTCATATTCATAAGATTTTAAAATTCAATGCCACGATTCGCATTCACGCGATTTTAAAATCCAAATCGCGATTCTTGTCAGAAGTAAGTTTTTTCTTGAATTAGTTATCAATAAGGTGTGATGTTCTACATTAGGAGATAATTTAATTATAAATGTTAGTTTGAAAGTTTATGTTAAATATGAAACATATATGGTATATAAATTGATGTATTCATATCGATTTGTCGTTAATAACTTTTTCAGCGTTTTGCACTTTGTGTCACAATTATCCCTGTTTTTTTCCAAAGGTACCTTGGTGACATAAATCCTAACAATCGATTTTCAGAATGAGGTTTATTCCAAAAGTGTCTTGGAGACAAAATCCTTGACTGTATCCGAAACGAACATTGCTCCTTGTACACGCCCGTTGTCTCATGTCACTGAAATCTCTGTACCGTTGTGGGGGTCTAAAGAGATGACGGTTTCACGCCAGATCAACGTCCGGTAACCTATTAAAATAGCGTATCCTTTTCTATCACCTTAATTAGCTTTATAGAACAACGTAACAGTGAGTGGGTTTCTCAGAATGCGTTTGGAATGTTGTCAAAGCGTTAAATGGCAACTCTTGTGCGAGGAATCATTAATCTGCCTGACTTATTTTTGTCATAAAACTTCAGTTTTTATGGTGCCACACTTCCTTTGTTTCTGATGTGAAAAGAGCTACCTTGAATGTAACCGAAGCCTTTCTTTTATGATCCAAGAAATCACTTTCGTGCCCATCAATATTGCTTCATGCTTCAGCGAGTGATGGACGATCAAGACAACAGCTTCCATTCCTTTTTTTGTTTTTTAACAAATCTAATCTTTAATGTGTTAAAAAGATTAGCAGGTTGGATTAACGACTTTATTATTATGTGTTTAATTTCTTTCTAGAAGGAAGATTGTGTTTTCCGAAATTCCTTAAAAAGCACATTCTAAGTGCCTTAAACTTGAAGCAACGAAATAGTTTTAAACTATAATTACCATATTTGCTCTAAAAATTAAAACAGACAAATAGCTTAAACATTGTTATTATTATTAAACTTTCTTTTAAAAATTGCCGATTTGGCAAGATTTCAGCAGTTTATTTTTGTAAACCCAGATAATGAAGCGTTGGATTGCACATGATCAGCAAAAGATCGATCTCTCGCTGATGGAAAACTGGAGTTCTTGAGTTCGATCCTGGCAGCCGACTGAACTGCTAGCGTGCTTATGCAGCAAGGTGCACTTTAAATCTGCCGTAGCTGAAAGTCCTCTTGTTTGTTGTGGTGTGGAAGTTTGGATAGAGGGATAAGCTCAGGCACTTTTAAAAATCAGATCAAAAATGCTTTTCATTTCCCCCAAACTATGGCTTTTCTTTATATTCATATTTTTTTCTTTATATTTTTATTTATACTCAGGGACCAGCCCAAACCTTGGGACGGGGACTGGTTCTTAGACTTTACTACGATTTTGAAACAGCGTTTTACTACGTTCCAGAGAACTTTTAAGACAATGGTCACTTCTTTTAATTGTATTTTACTTTTATTTATTAGTGTTCATGAATTCCTTTTTATATGTGTTCCTGTATTGCCATTGGGAATAAATAAAAAAATATGTGTCTGCTCTTCATCCCTATTTCGGTGTCATGGAAAGTAGATGCCTACCTTTCCATTGCAATTAGGCTTATCTCGCTTAATATATATGACCATTTTCATATTACTCCGCCATCCTATTTATTTTAGTAAACGGAATACTTTTGACAACTTTTCTTTTATATTTGTTTCAGATTTGTTTCTTGTCTTCCCACTTCAAATGACGTAGCCTTATATCTAGCCTACGAAGTTTAGAAAAGAAATGAAATTCAGCAGGTGACCCATGATTTCAAAAGTGTTGCTCATTTAATCCACTACTGTGATGGCCGATCACTGTGAACTTGTGTCGGAGATGAATGTCGTTGAGAAGATGAGCACTCAGGAGAGGCTGAAGCACGCGAGAAAGAGACGCGTGCAGCAGTTGAAGCGATGGAATCAACGCGAGAAAGAATGGCAGCAGACGAAGAGGAAGAAAGGAGGGGCGGCAACCCCGGACCTCATTCCAAAGTCCAAAAGTAACAAATCTTACAAAGTACATTTTGTGCCAAGCGTCATGCTTCTGGAAGCAGCGGCTAGGAATGACGTCGAAGAAGGTAAGATTCTTTCTGAATAAAAACAGACGACTTAAAACATCCAGTATTCTTTAAACTGATATTTTTTTTAATTTAGAAGCCTCTTGCCCGGTATTCACTAGATTGTTTTCCTTAAAGTAATGTGCTATTGCCTGATATACACCTGCCCCGTATTCCTGACATTGATGTTTTCTTAAGTGTCCATTGTCCGGGATTTACCCCAAAAATTACCCAATTAATGAAAAAAAATGAACGAAAATAATTATATATAAAATAAAAACGAATAGAAAGTGTAGCAAACTCGAAGCGTCGTAATGCTTTAAGAGGCATTTAGTTGTTAAAAAGATAGTTTTTTTTTATTATTTTCAATTTCCTAATTCTGAAATCGAAAATTCTGCCAGCTGTATCTTCTGCATGAAAAATATTAACATGCATCCCTTACATTTCTAAATCTGCAAGAAAAAAGATGCAATCCATTCCCCTTAGGGAGGCAGCTTGGAATTGAAAAACTTATTCTTCCCCCTTGTTGTTTCGTAATTTTGCGGCCAAGAAATACGATCAACGTGCTATAACACGCAACAAATTCTGTTTGTTTCTGTGTGAGGAAGAAATATTAAAGTTCCTAATGCATGTGAAAAAGTGGCTTATTTTGATGTCTAACGAGAGAAAGGCAAATATTTACGATTTAGCTGTTAGGTCGATTTGAAATTAACTTTGCTACGCCACAAAATGCGAACAAAAACACACGTTGTCCATTACTCGATCTCATTTGAATTGGCATTGCGTTCAATACTTGCTGTAATAATAAACTCGGAGGCTGTCCAACTTGCGTCCCAAGTGTCTCCAAATATGCTCTTTCAATGACATATCTGGGGATTAAGCAGGCCTTGTAAAGTTGGAATTTTCATGCATATATACTTTCTCCGGAAAACAAATTGCAGGTTAGGTTACACAAAAATTAATATATCAACTTTTGTTTTATTTTCGTCACCGCTATTTTAAATTTTCTAAGCCCTAGGGGACCCTGCACATGTATATATTGTGGGGTCCACAAAGTCCTCCATGTTCCCATAACAAATTATATCTCTGTGGAGGAATTGCATTGGAGATGGATCGTTCTCTGGTTTATTTCAAAATTACAATCTGTGGATGAATGAATAGATGTATGAATGGTATGAACGGTTGTGACGTATGGGTGTAGCAGAAGTCGAATTCTTGGCCACAGATGGCACCAGCGGAAAACAAGTACAATCGCACCCCTTACGGTTACGACAACAACATTGTAAAACCTAACAGTAAGACTCCCAGTAAAGATTTTAAATACATAAAATAGATTTTTTATTAATTTTGTACTTAAACATAATAAATTTAATGATATAAAAAGTTCTTAAGGATTCTTGTAATAATGACAATTTTGTGTTTCAGTTCGGAGACTTCTTATGCTCGGTGTTAGTCCTGACTCGACGAATGAAGATGGACTCACGGCTCTGCACCAGGCAAGTATTCATTCCATTGACTACAGTTCTTCTTAATAATAACCACTAATATATCGAGGCTCAATATATTGTGGTATGTTGACAGAAAGAATGTCTTATGTTTTATGTTCAATACACAGTGTTGCATTGACGACAGCGAGGCGATGATGAAACTCCTTCTAGAGTTCGGTGCCAACGTCAACGCCAAGGACAGCGAGCAGTGGACACCGCTTCATGCAGCAGCTACCTGTGGCCATATACACTTAGTGAGGTACCTCATCTCTAAAGGGGCCGATCTGCTGGCTGTGAATGCTGACGGAAACATGCCGTATGACATATGCGAGGACGAAACCACCTTGGACTATATCGAATCTGAAATGGCCAAAAAAGGTATCACTTTTCAATTCATTCATGGATTCACGATTGGAATGGAAGCAAATTTTACTGCTTGAGTTCCGCTCGACTCCAGTTGGTTAAAAAATGTCCGGTCCTTACTCCGCATGAGGATTTTAAAAAAAAACAGGCACTTGAAAGCAGTCTTCTGACGTGACAAGACTGAAAAAAAAAATGCTTTGCCAATACTTGAAGTATTAAGGCTGTTTTTCGAAATCTCCGTCGTAATATGAATTGATACTTTTTTGCGAACTGTGAGTTTGCAACTGTTACTCATGACTGTTAGACCAAGTTTAGAGTATCTAATGGCAGCGCTGTCTACGCTTGTTTTGAAAACGGCTTAAAACGTCAATACTATTTAGCCACAGTTTTGTGAAAATGGTCTAATTTCTTAATACGGCTTAAAAACTTACTCCTATGCTGCGTTACTTGGGCTCATAAAATTTTTCAAAACTGAGAATAAGGCAGTGATTTTGATAATTTTTATTTAGGGGGAAAATATCACCCAATTGGTGATTTTTAAAAAGATTTAATAACTTTTAAAATATTTAAGGTATTTGTCTGTTCTAAAAAACACAGATAATTCTTCACGACAAGATTACATCTACAATTTAAAATCATCGCATTGCTTCAAGTGTAAGGCACTTAAACTATGGCTTTTTTGTTTTTCTTGGACACAGAGCTTTGAAAACAGCGTTAGGAGACAATTTTAATTGCATGAAGTAAAAAAAACTGGTGTATACGAATTCGGAAATGTGAATGAGAACTTGATAGGTGAGTTATATTCACTCTGAAGAACATGCTAAACCAGATTCTTGTTCGCATCTCCGTAATCGCATACGCGATTTTTTTCGCATTCTGTGATAAAGGCCCTTTTACTCCAACTAGCAAGAAAAAGTGAAAAATGTAGAGAGTCAATAACTACTTGCTTAAATCCCTAAATCGGAATTTTCTTCCCCCAAAGTCTGTGAAACATCCCTGGGGATGATCTGAAGATATGACATCACAATTTTGATCCCCTGCGGAGGGGATAGCTCCTCCGCGTTTGCTAGACCGATGACCTGCATGCGAATTCGAGTGTTTTACTTTAGAAATTTTCCCATAACGAGATAACAATTGATACCGCTCACCCTCGGTCCCTACGCAGGCTGATATAAGTTATCACACACCCCGCTTACTGACCGCAGCCAGTGATGCTTGTATCGGTGTTCTACTGGGAATCCGTGTCTTTACGATCAGTTCACTGAAAGAAGCCGTATTTTTTAAATTTGATTTGATCAGGAATTATCGATTTCGCTCAAATTTTTATTTTGTCATGTAAAATTATGTTCTTTAAAAATATGTAACTCTTTTTATACTTTACAATTCATAATATTTTCGACCATTATTTAATAAAATAATTTAAAAAAATAGTAAATATCTACTAAAAGTTTTCATGGAATTATCTTTGGAGAAACGAACTTTATAATTGTGGGCAAAAACTTTTCAATTCATTTAAGAAGTTATGGCAAAATACGCACAAAAAATAAAATTAACATGAAGGGGTTCAAACTTTGAACTCTTGAACCCTATTTTCCAGATTGCAGCTACCTCCAATATTTTGGGGGTGAGAAATCCAAATTCGTTGTAAAAAAAGTTATGTTTACCCCGAGAAAGTACGTTTTTGTGTCAGATTCCGTAACTTAGACTATTGTCTGGACTAATTAATTGGCATATTTGAAATCGCCCCCTCAAACCTTTAAAAATGAGTCCTAGAACGCGAAGATCCCATCATTATATCAAAAGTTATTCAGGGTGGTCCGTTTTTTCTTATTTTGCACACTACATTGACTACGAATACTTGACTTTGGTGGAAGTTGTTGGTGAACAAACTAAGCTCGCTCCATGGCCATAATATTTCGAAGAAACCTAAAAATAATGAATAAAATGGCGAAATGATTTTTGTTTTCAAAAAAAAGCTTCTATAATTTTTAATATACATTAAAAATTTAAAAGTTTACGACTAATACTGAACTAATAAACTAACTAATAAATTACTAAAACTATTGTAGAATAAAAATGAATTATATTGTCATTGACACACTGTAGGAATCACGCAAGAAATGATTGACGAAACGCGAGCTATAACAGAACAAGAAATGCTTGTTGATTTGAAGTGCATGTTGGAAGATGGAGGAGATATAGAATACAGAGATCAACAAGGAGCTACACCCGTATGTATTCTCTATTTTGTTCTTTCTTATTCACTCTTTCCTTCTTCTATTCTAACTGTTGGATGTCAATGCTCACCTACATTGCAGTCAATTGGATGGAAATCCACACAACTTTGTTACAAACATTGGAGGTAGTGGGTTCATTTCTGAATCAGATCAATAAACCCTACACAGAGCCTTGGTGGCTCAGGGGAAAGAACGCTCGCCTTCCATTGAGGTAAACCGGGTTCGAATCCCAGCTATAACTGATTGATTCGAATTCCACACCCGGTTGCACCGACCACAGTGCTACGTAAAATATCCTCATTGGTAGAAGGATCACGGGTCCCCTTCCATCAGACTAACCGTGGGAGGTCTTTGTGGTTTTCCTCTCTAACTCAAATGCGGGTTAGTTCCATTAAAAGACTTCCACGATGGCAAATTTCTCTCAATACTTTATCCAGGAATTCCCTTGTCTTTTGGATTGGGTTCAAAATGACTAGGCAACGTAGTTGAACATTAGCAGTTGTAAAACCGAGCCGGCTGTTCAACGACGATTAAGAAAAAAATAAACCTACCCAGTGGTCGGGATTAAACTCGAGAGTAAAATTGCGCCCTCAAATTAGTTAGTCAAATGAAGTATAAAAATTATTTAGTTCAATGGGATGCCTGCAAGTGACGAAGTGTGGGTATCCCACTCCTGATGGGTTGTTGAAACTTGACTTTTGTTTACGTTAGCAACTGTTCTTTCCATTATTCTGTTTCGAGTAAGTCAAGCCCTTCAAGTATCAATTCTCTTATGTGGCACACTTTATATTTCACGAAGATTCTTTCACAAAGATTTCAATTTTTTCACTATCTGTTTCTTACTTAACACAAAAGCTGGCACGAAACCATGTTGATCATAAACAAACTAATTATAAATCGAAGTTGCCAAGTACAAGAAAAAAAATGTATTACGATAACAATAAAATACATAAACAAATAATAAATCTAAATTAAATAAAAGTCGTAGCAGCGTAAGAATTATGTTTCAACAAATGCTATGTGCATATATGGCAACGTTACTTTCAAAAAGTTACGAGTAAAAGTACAAGTATTTTTAAAAAAAGTAATGATTAAAAAGTAAAAAGTTCTTATTTTAAAAAGTAACGAGTAAAAAGTACAAGTAAAAGTACAAGTACTGAATTCGAGTAGTAACGATTTNTTGTTAGTGTCGATTTATTTTTAAATTCGGAGGTATATTATAATATAATTTTATGTTATAATCGTGTAATATAATTTTAAAATCAAATATAATTTTAATATCAAACTTTTTATGAATTTGCACGAAAAAGAAATTTTATCTATTGATTTAAATTTTTTGTTTATTATTTTTATCTATTTAAATTACCATTAATTCAAAATTGTGTTACTCTTTAGAAACGCATTTTAAAAGCACAAACATAAACAAAGCAAACACGGGGTTTCAGATAGCTTTGTGATGTTTGAGTTAGTAAGAAAAAAATTGAATGTGCAGTATAAGTTGAAACAGAAGGTATTTAAACACAAAGTTAGCTATGAATGCATATATATTGCACATTAATTTTATAAATTAAAAAAACATAAGCATTTTTTTTAAATAAATTTTTTTTTTTAGAAAGCTTACCGAGTTTTAGAAAAAAGTAACGATTTCTTTCGACATTTCCGTTACAAATACTTGTACTTTTTCCCTAAAAAAGTAACGAAAGTACAAGTAAAAGTACTAAATTTAAAAAGTAACGAAGTACAAGTAAAAGTACGTACTTTTTACTTGTACCGGCGGTACAAGTAACGAAAGTAAAAGTACTGCCATATATGGCTATGTGTGATCCGGATCTGTATTTAATTAATTTCACGTTAATTAATATTTTTTAACTTATGTGTTGAAACTTAGTTCGACTTTAACAAGCCATTTTACTTATAAGCGATCAGCTGGCGCTGGCATTGTGATCTTCTTCTGGAAGTGCAAGAACCCAATGGTATCAGATAGTTTGCAATTACTACATTTTAAAAAGGAATAGATGGAGTGAAATGCATTTGTATTCAATAAGTTGTAGTTTAAAAAATGTAGTTTTTCCGACCACTGAAATCAAGTTAAACCAGATCAGCTGACTTTCAGCAATTCATTAGCAGTTTCATTCACTTTTGAACAATTCTTTTATGTAACAGTTTATTCATAGTAAAAGTACTTTCAAGAGACACTGTTAAAAGTAAGCTAAATTCGATAGCTCATCTTTTGGTCAGAGTCAAACCATCATCTGATCGGATACAAAATTACGGTGCACTTTTGCACGCCCTTTAAAGTTCGGCAAAGAAATAAAAAATTGGTTTTAACTAGATGTATGTAGAATGACGTAATTTTATTCAAAGTAATTTCATGCATGTAGTATAACGACGTAATTGTATGAAGTATGACATAATTTCATGCATGTAGTATAACGTAATTGTATGAAGTATGACTTAATTTTAAACTACATACATCCAATTTAGTTTCCTTATTTCCTCTCTTACTTGCACAGAGAAACAAAAAGCCGTTGTTTTTATTGCATTTCTAAAAGAACACCTTCACTAAAGAACAAATTGTTAAGATACTTTGAACATTTAGTAGCTATAAAAAAATAAAAATTTTTTTTCAAAAAAATGAGCTTTTATGTGCAATAAGTTGCCTAAATAGGATTGTTTTCAGGCAAATCAGAAAGCAAAGTTCACGCATTAACTAATAATCGATACAAATTACATTCCTGCCAAATCTTCCGGATTTTCCGGAAGATTTTATTTTCATATTTAAAGTGGTAGTAATCATGCACTATTTTTTCTTTAATAATTTTAATTTTTAAATGATATTGATCACCACTATTCTTACAAAAATTAAGCACATATATTAATATGCGTTACTATCATGGTTGTCAAAATTAAGCACATATTACTAAAACTAAAACTAAAAATTAAGCACATATATTAATATGCGTTACTATCATGGTTGTCACCTGCCCGATGATCCTAAGCACCGGGAAATCTTCAGAATCAACCGATTGCTGAACACACCAGTCAGAGTGGAAAGATTTCGTGGCGGCCGCCACGAAGTTCAATGCTATAGGTGTCAAGGCTTCGGCCACACACAGAGCAAATGCACCGATGAGCCAGCGTGTATGAAATGCGCTGGTGCGCATTACACCTACAAATGCACGAAACCCCTGAACGAGCCACCATCATGCGTGAACTGCAAAAATGACCACCCAGCCTGTTTCACAGGTTGCCCAGCCAGGCCAAAGAGAAAGCTCGCACCCAGGAGGAGACAACAACATCGAACTCCTACCAACCCAGTAGCCAGATTTACTCACATCGTGAGAGAACTACAGGAACTCATGAAAGATGCGGAATTAGTTTCCCTGATCCAGTCCCTCCTCCCACCAACCAAGACTTAGACGAGGAGATACTGCCAATGATGACGACCACAGATCTTCATCTGTGGAATTACTACTATTTGTTAAAGCCAATAGTCACCGTCGCCCTAGGGCCCATTTTCGATGAAGAAGTGAGGTGCCCGCATCCGCGGGCAGGTACTTCATCAAACCACCTATCGAGTCGAGTCGAGTCATGGTTGTCAACTTAAGTTTTCTCAAATACAACGTATTTGTTTGCTTAAAATTGAAGTTTCAATTCCATTTTAATACCACTGGGAAAAATGACAATGGAAGGGATTAAAAGTTGGCAGGTATAGGGGGAAATTTATCTGCAATTAATTACTTGTTATTCAAAAAATGATAAGACAATGAAACAGGTATACAACTGTCAATTACAAACGTTGCTTAATACAATTTTTGAAAATAGAATCACCATAACCGTTTGATCTTTTATATCTTTATTTAAGTAGAAATGGACAAAACTAATTTAATTCTAATTTGTTAAAATATTTATTCATAACCTTTGTCACTATGAAGCATATTTTCCGTAACTGCGAAAACTTAGTAGGGGGTGTATGCCTGTATTTATTAAAAAATTTGACGTTTTCAAAACATTTATTTTGTTACCCTTAATTCTATTATGTATTATGTTACGATGTATACCATTTATAATGAATGTTTTGTACCGTCCTTGTTTGATCTTTCAGCTCCACATAGCTGCAGCTAACGGGTATGTGACCGTTGTGGAATTTATTCTCGATAACCATGGCTCTACTAATGTTTGTGATAATGACATGTGGCAGCCTATTCATGCAGCGGCATGCTGGGGACATGTAAGTAGATCATCAACCTCTCTTCTTATTGTGTTCAAGTGTAAATAAACAATAAATGAGTAAAACACCCTGAATTACTTTTGATCTAATGATCGGATCTTCGCGTTCTAGAAATCTATCATAAAGGTTCAAGGGCGTAACCTCAAATATACTAATTAATTAGCGCAGACGATATTTTAAGTTACGGAATGTGACACAAAAACGTACTTTTTGTAAACAAACATACTTTTTTTTATGATGGATTTGGATTTCTGTCCCCCAAAATATCGAAGGTTACCGCATTGTGGAAAACTTGGTTCCTATAGTTTGATTCTGGAGAGCGAATATCTCGAGAACTTTTTCATCAAATTGAAAAAATTTTACCCACAATTATAAAATTCGTTTATCCAAAGATAATTCCGTGCTAAAAATAACTTTTAGTAATTATTTTTTATTATTTTTTAAAATGGTACGGTATACAAGTTTTTAAAACATTTTGAAGAATGTAAAATCTCAAGACAAAATGTAGGCGAAATCGGTCAAATAGTTCCCGAGAAATCGAATTTTCATGGAATTATCTTTGAATGAGCGAATTTTATAATTGTGCGAAAAATGTTTCCATTCAATTAAAAAGTTTTCGTTTCATGGTGAAATGCGCAAAAAGTAAAATTAGCAGTAAAGGGTCCGAACTTTGGATCGCTCTCCTGATCAAACTCTGGGAACCCTGTTTCCTAGATTGCAGCTTCGCCCTATATTTTGACGGTAAGAAATCCGAATCCGTCGGTAACAAAATACGCATGAAGAAAGTTGCTACCCGTTAACAGAGTTACTGAAAATATTGATTTTTTGCAGTGGCTTTCTGTCAATGAACCAAATAAATCCAGGTATTATTATTTACTTTATGACTAGAGGTATAATTAGTGGTAAAGTATTCACCTACCGTCCGGGGTTCAATTCCTCGTGCGGCGTCTGATCGGATTGTACATTGCGTTTCAGGGACTTCAATTCTACTCTAATGCCTCCGGTGGTTTCAGAGCGGGAAAGTGATTAATAGAGTTCTATTTACTTTATTTCTGTAAAATTTCGAAGTCTCCTGTGAATTATTTTTTCTGTATTTTAATAGAAATTTTCCGTTTTTAATTCTCGGTAATTTTACAATTAGACTCTAGATAAATGGTTACCAGTAAATTATCATACATTTTAATTGAAATCTTTTGTACACTGCAATGCTGTTTTTTTTTCTTCTTAAAATAGTGTGAATTTAATAGACTTGTAATGTTTTTCGTTATAGCCTGATGTTATTGAAATGTTGGTCATGGCTGGGGCAGATTTATCAGCGAAAACGAAAAATGGTGAAACTCCTTTTGGTAAGTATTGTAAATTTTTTTCATTGTTAAAATGCATGCTACTAAAACTTCTGTTAAGATTCTTCTGCCCAGAGTAATAAACAATGTCACTAAGAAAATGCATCAGTTAGTTTATAGATAAGTTAAATTTTTTTCATTTAAAAATATGTTTTTCACCATTTTTATATAAGACAAAAAAATCTATTGCTGACTTATTTTATTACTAAGTGCGAATTTTTAATGCCTGACGACCAAAAGCTGTCTTTATATAAAAAAAAACAAGTAGGGTAAACTAACCAGTGAAGGAACAATTAAGCTTCGCTTGCCTTTTAAAAAACCATATTAATTTCAAAATTCGTATTTTTAGTTAAATGTTATAGAGAACTTACATAATATTGTTTTAAAGTTTTGGAGGTTCAAATAGCAAGTAGTAAGAATTGAAGGAACAGCTCTTACCAGTGAAAGAACACTCAGTAAAGGAACGCTTAATTTTGGTTATTTCTTAACGCTCTTTATGAATTTATAAGCCATACAAATATTTAAAAACAAGCCTATTCTTGAAATTATAACATATAAATACTTGGAAAATGTTAACTTTTTTTGTAATCATGAATTGAAAATTAAAGTGTCAACATATTAACACATACTGTTCATTCACTGGGAAATCTATGCCCAGTAAAGGAACATGCCTGTTCCCTCACTGGTTAGAAGTTGTTTTTCGTATTTTTAACATACTTTTGATGC